ACCGTTCCCCTGTATGGCTCTATCTGCAGCAGCTGAAAACTGGCTTCTTCTCCTCTCCCTCCCGCTGGCTTTCAGCTGCTGCAGAGAGAGCTATACAGAGGATCGGTTCCAGTAATTGCCCCCCCCGGTGCACCCATCACCCTCCCTGTGCACCATAATTTCTCCCCGCTGCCCAGGACCCCTTGTGTGCCCCCACCCCTGCAGTGCTTCTGGCTTTCTTCCTCTCCTTCCCAACAGCAGCTGAAAGCACACAATAGGATCCTTCCAGATGGAGAGGGGGGAAGGGTCCAGTAAATATGTCACATTTACCAGCCCCTTCCTTTCCTGAATGAGCACAATGAGTGATCAATATCAATCACCCACTGTGTTCATTAAAACTGAAGCATAGTAAAAAAAAAAAAAAATTTTTTGGGGGGGGGGGGCCCTATCAGGTTGGCTGTATGGGCCCCCGTGGTTTATAACTGCAGCCCTGGGAGTTGCAGTTCCATGCAGAGGCACCAGCAAAGCCTAAGTAGGAGAGGGGCTTCCCATGGGCTGTTTATGCTGCTGTCAACATTGTGTTTCACTATGTTTGCTGTATTTCACTAAGGTGGTTTCCCCTGGTGGCTGAGCGGCCTGTGTGTTCACCTGATCCTGCTGGTTGGGGTCAGTGCACAAGTGGTGTGGCATTTATGGCTGGGAGGTGGTGCACATGAGTTGGTGCTGTGGTGTTTGTTAGACTGATAGGTCAGGTTTTCAGATGGCTTTTCTCTTCTGTGTTTTGTGTTAGGGTTGTAAAAGAAGAGGCAGCTTCCAGTGACTTTCTGGCTGCTATGAAGGCAGAACGAAGTGCAACTTTGTTTAAAGATTTGTTGGGGTCCTCCCAGAGTTCTTCAGAACCTGGTACACCACAATCATCAGCTTCCTTGGGTGCGGGGTCTGAGATACCCTCGACACAGGTTGCTTTCTCCCTGCCGCGGTCTGATAAAGATTCAGAGGAGAACAAAGGGGAGGAGGCTGAGGATTCCCCAGCATCCAAGTACAAATTGTCGCTAGAAGAGGTAGATCCATACAACCTTAGGCATTAAACAGGAAGAGAAGGATCTCTCTCTGCATGATCTGATGTACCTGGGGCTTAGGGAACCAAAGGGTAGATTTTTCCCTTCTCATGCAGCTACTGTATCTCAGGTATGATAAAGAAGGAATGGCAGGATCCTGAAACAAAACAGTTTTTTTTAGATCCCACAATAGAAGGTTCCTGTTTGAGGAAGATACCTCCGCAGTTTGGAACAAAATGCCTAAGCTGGAAGCAGAATTCTCCCAGGCCTCAAAAAGTACAGATTTAGCTTTCGAGAACATGGGAAGTTTGAAGGAGACAATGGATAAAAGATGGACTTGCTGTTAAAAATGGCCTGACAATCCATCATGGAATATTTGAAGCCTGCTATGGCAGTCACCTGCATGGCTAGGAATCTAGAACACTGTTTGAACCAGCTGAAGGCACATATTAATGCAGGGACCCCGAAGGAAGAAATCTGTGGGATTTATAGTGCATGTATCCACAGAATCAATACACATGACAGCTCATTCAGCAGCGTTATCTAATACAGCAAGAAGGGCCTTATGGCTGAAGACCTGGCAGGGAGATTTAGCATCTAAAGTAAGGCTGTGCGGAATCCCATTTTCTGGAGATCTCCTTTTGGAATCAATTCTGGATCGCACAGCAGATAAAAAGAAATCTTTCCTGGTGAAAAAGAAAAAATAACACCAAAAGCTTTTTTTGTCCCCTGAGAAGTCTGCAACAAAGTGACAAGTCACAGGGGAAAAAAGATTTCAGGGTCGCAGAAAGTCAGAGAAAAAAAAAGGAGGAGTCCTTTTCCATGCTCCTGCTCAACCTAAAAAGTTACAAAGATGTGCTGCTTCTGGTGGGAGAAAGACTACAGGCACTCCTTCCACAATGGGAGACGATAACAACAAACCTGTACATCTTGTCAGCAAAGAGTACGAGATAGACTTTGCGCCAGTTCCTCGAAGAAGGTATTTTGTCACGGATATTCCGAAAAATCTGGTAAAAGCTCTAGCTGAGAAGAACCTGATTCAGGATCTGATACTTCAGCAAGTGGTTATACTGCTCCTTTAAGGAAAAGGACACATGTGCTTTTATTTCCACATATTGCTAGTAGGAAGGCCCTTGGGAAAATTCTGCATAATTCTCAATTTAAAAACTTTGAACAAAGAGGTTCAATACAAAAAGTTCTGGATGGATCTGATCTTTTCTGTCAGAAATTTGCTGCTTTCAGGTTGTTACATGACATCAAATGATCTAAGGGATGCCTACCTCCACATCCCGATCGGACAGCGCTCCCAAAGATTTTTGACACTAGTCCTGAGGTTGGCCTGTCATTGTCACCTGGAATTTTCATGAAAGTGAAGGCACAGACCTTCGCTCCGCTAAGGTTCAGAGACATTTCAGTAATTCCATACCTGGATGACCTTCTGTTTTTAGTAAACTCAGGAGACCAGTTAAAGAAGGACTTACAAGAAGCCTGCAACAATATGGAGTGCATAAGCTGGATCATGAATGAGCAAAAAGTCCAACCTGACCCCATCCAGGAAAGTTCTGTTCCTGGGAATTTTGTTTGATGGAAAAGATTTTTTTTTTTGCCAGAAGTGAAAAGGCAAAAAATTAGGTGGTAATGACTCTGCTTCAGTGCAATCATCAGGTTTCAATCAGATTCAAGATGTCAGCCCCCAGCCTATTCACAGCTTCCATTCTAGCAGTTCAGTGGGCAAGGATACACTTCAGACCCCTGCAACAGTTTACTGTGAGAATATGGAATGGGGATTTGACCTCACTGGAGATCAAAGTGAAGGTTCTCACAAGGGTCAAAAGATCCCTTTGATGGTGGAAGAAACAGGAAATTCTTTCAAGAGGTCTAGTCTGGTCTTTTCCAGTTGATTTTCACCATAGATGTCAGCTACTGGGGTTGGGGAGCGCATTTGGAAAGTCACAGGGGCAGTGGTCAAAACTACAAGTGATAAATTCCTCAAACTGAAGGGAGATAAAAGCTATTGCACTAGTTTTACTAGCTTTCTCCCCAGAAGCTCCAGAGCCATTGTGTGCAGTTCTGCACAGACAACACCATGGCAGTAGACTATGTAAACTGGCAAGGGGAAAGGGGGAGTAGGAGTCTTCAGAGACTGGCAGGGGAAATTCTGGCCTGGGCAGAAAAAAAATCAAATCTGACATCCTTCTCAGCAATACATCTCAAAGGCTCACTAAACCTGGTAGCCAACTTCTTAAGCAATCACCAAGTAAAGGAAGGCAAATGGTGCCTAAATCGTGAGGACTTTCTCAACTTAGTTTGAAAGTGGAGACAGCCACAGAATCAACCGTCAGAATGCCAAAACCTGTCATTTTTTCTCCTTGAACAGAGAAGACTGATCAGTGAGGACAAATGTCCTCGTCCAAAAGTGGGGCTTCCCACTGTATTATGCTTTTCCCCCTTTCAACTAATTCCACAGAACCTGCAGAAAATTCAAACAGAGAGAGTGGTGGTCATTTTCGTAGCACCCTTCTGACCGAAAAGACTGTGGTTTTCCATTTTCCTCTGACTAGCTGTCAAACCGTACTACACGCTTCCACTCAGGAAGGACCTGCTACAACAAGGACCTCTGTGTCATCCAAATATAGAAAGCTTGCATCTCAGGGCGTGGTTTCTGAGAAGCAACTGCTAGAGAGGAAGGGCTTCTCACAACACTTAATGGACAGCTTTCTGGCAAGACACAAAAATATCACGTGAGCAATTTAAGGGAACGTTTGGAAGGTGTTCAATTCCTGGTGCTCATCCAATTCAATGCTCCTGGAAGACCTTACCTCTGTCCTGGAATTTCTTCAACAGGAGGCAGACAAGAAATTAGCGGTCAGCTCTCTAAAAGGTACAGGTTGCAGCATTAGCAGTTTCTCTGGAGTGCCCTTTTTCTTCAGAAGCCTTAGTCATTAGACTCTTCAAGGTATTATCCAGCTCCACACCAGTTAATGATAAAATGGGATCTCTCACTGGTTCTGCAATCCCTAACCAATCTCCTTTTGAACCTCTCAGCTCTGCGAACTTGAAGTTCATCACAATGAAGACAGTACTACTTACAGTTGTGACTTTGGCATGCAGAATTCGTGATCTACTTGCATTAGCAATCAGAGAACTTTTTAAAATGTTCTATCCAGATAGAATTGTTCTAAAGACCCATTCCACCTTTCTTCCGAAGGTAGATTTGGTTTATCATAGCTCACAAGATATTGTTTTGCCAACATTTTGTTCTAACCAGTCAGGGGAAAAAGATAGATTTTAATTTTGTATGCTGGGACCAAGAAGGGACAGAAAGCCACCAAAGGATTGATAGCCAGATAACCAAGATTGGCGATTAAGTACGCTTATACACATTCAAACCTCGATCCGCCATTGGCGATTCATGTTTATTCCACGAGAGATCTGATGTCTACATGAGTAGAGAAGACTGGTGCTACCCCAGAACAAATTTGTAAGGCAGCATCCTGGTCAAGCATGTCCACCTTTGTGAGCCATTACAGACTGGATTTTGTCAACTGGGGAGCAGGTCTTCAGTAGGAAGGTCTTGCAAGCTGTGGTCCGACCCTAACAAGGTAAGCTCTCGTTTATCCTTTTATGTGCTGTTCTGAAAGACGTTTTGAGAAAATTCAAGTTAAACTTACCAGTAACTGGTTTCCTCGTAGTGTTTCAGGACAGCAATAATTACCAGCCCTGATATTGTTTATGCTGTTGTGCTTATGTTTTTCAAATGAGCCGGAGGTACTCTTCAACAATTGAGGACTGTGGGAGAGGCCTCCAATTTAGAGTTAATGTTGGTGTGTGTTTCCTGCGAGAGATGGAGGAGCTGCATTCTCTCATGTCTTGTCCTGAAAGACTACAAGAAAAGAAGTTACCGGTAAGCCTAACTAGAATTTTCCCGTGCATGAATGAACTACAAGTACCGTCATCCACCACGGCAGACGGCTTACAGTTCTGAATGAACTACAAGGGCGCTGATGAGCAGGGCTGTAGCAATCGTACCCTCAGAGATGGACGCGGTGCAACCATTTTGCTCCAACCTCCATCTTGGCAAAGGATCATACATCTTGTACAAATATATCTTTCCTCATCCCCCTCCCTCTCTGAGATCCACAGTGACATGTGGTCGGTGTGTGTTGGAAGTGTCACAGGCAGGCCAGAGCACAGCAGGAAGCTCCGAGCTATAAAACCTCTCTGAGATGGATGCCGGACTGTCTAAGAAACTGTGCAATCTGTCACCTTGTAAAAGGACAACCCAAGCTTTACCCTGAGTTCAAAGACATTCCAGAGGAGTAATCAACAGATACCACTTTTAAAATCCATTTTCCCCCCAAGTCTCATATCTTGGAATATGAGAGACTTACATAAAAACCAGGCATATCTTCAGATTGGTCACGATGAGACAACCCGTTTGATATGTCACACTCCTTGGCTGGAATATATAGGAAAGCAGAGGATTACATCTCTTGAACCATTCAAGTATGTATTTCATATTTCATATCTAACCGTTCCAGATGCGTCTGCATATTAACCTACCCGCGGGTGGAATGTTACTTGTTCCTAGGAAATGAGGAATGAGCCAAAATATAAGCTATGAGAGATTTTGGTTCTAGCTCAGGAAGGACCTGCTACAACAAGGACCTCTGTGTCATCCAAATATAGAAAGCTTGCATCTCAGGGCGTGGTTTCTGAGAAGCAACTGCTAGAGAGGAAGGGCTTCTCACAACACTTAATGGACAGCTTTCTGGCAAGACACAAAAATATCACGTGAGCAATTTAAGGGAACGTTTGGAAGGTGTTCAATTCCTGGTGCTCATCCAATTCAATGCTCCTGGAAGACCTTACCTCTGTCCTGGAATTTCTTCAACAGGAGGCAGACAAGAAATTAGCGGTCAGCTCTCTAAAAGGTACAGGTTGCAGCATTAGCAGTTTCTCTGGAGTGCCCTTTTTCTTCAGAAGCCTTAGTCATTAGACTCTTCAAGGTATTATCCAGCTCCACACCAGTTAATGATAAAATGGGATCTCTCACTGGTTCTGCAATCCCTAACCAATCTCCTTTTGAACCTCTCAGCTCTGCGAACTTGAAGTTCATCACAATGAAGACAGTACTACTTACAGTTGTGACTTTGGCATGCAGAATTCGTGATCTACTTGCATTAGCAATCAGAGAACTTTTTAAAATGTTCTATCCAGATAGAATTGTTCTAAAGACCCATTCCACCTTTCTTCCGAAGGTAGATTTGGTTTATCATAGCTCACAAGATATTGTTTTGCCAACATTTTGTTCTAACCAGTCAGGGGAAAAAGATAGATTTTAATTTTGTATGCTGGGACCAAGAAGGGACAGAAAGCCACCAAAGGATTGATAGCCAGATAACCAAGATTGGCGATTAAGTACGCTTATACACATTCAAACCTCGATCCGCCATTGGCGATTCATGTTTATTCCACGAGAGATCTGATGTCTACATGAGTAGAGAAGACTGGTGCTACCCCAGAACAAATTTGTAAGGCAGCATCCTGGTCAAGCATGTCCACCTTTGTGAGCCATTACAGACTGGATTTATTGTCAACTGGGGAGCAGGTCTTCAGTAGGAAGGTCTTGCAAGCTGTGGTCCGACCCTAACAAGGTAAGCTCTCGTTTATCCTTTTATGTGCTGTTCTGAAAGACGTTTTGAGAAAATTCAAGTTAAACTTACCAGTAACTGGTTTCCTCGTAGTGTTTCAGGACAGCAATAATTACCAGCCCTGATATTGTTTATGCTGTTGTGCTTATGTTTTTCAAATGAGCCGGAGGTACTCTTCAACAATTGAGGACTGTGGGAGAGGCCTCCAATTTAGAGTTAATGTTGGTGTGTGTTTCCTGCGAGAGATGGAGGAGCTGCATTCTCTCATGTCTTGTCCTGAAAGACTACAAGAAAAGAAGTTACCGGTAAGCCTAACTAGAATTTTCCCGTGCATGAATGAACTACAAGTACCGTCATCCACCACGGCAGACGGCTTACAGGTTCTGAATGAACTACAAGGGCGCTGATGAGCAGGGCTGTAGCAATCGTACCCTCAGAGATGGACGCGGTGCAACCATTTTGCTCCAACCTCCATCTTGGCAAAGGATCATACATCTTGTACAAATATATCTTTTCCTCATCCCCCTCCCTCTCTGAGATCCACAGTGACATGTGGTCGGTGTGTGTTGGAAGTGTCACAGGCAGGCCAGAGCACAGCAGGAAGCTCCGAGCTATAAAACCTCTCTGAGATGGATGCCGGACTGTCTAAGAAACTGTGCAATCTGTCACCTTGTAAAAGGACAACCCAAGCTTTACCCTGAGTTCAAAGACATTCCAGAGGAGTAATCAACAGATACCACTTTTAAAATCCATTTTCCCCCCAAGTCTCATATCTTGGAATATGAGAGACTTACATAAAAACCAGGCATATCTTCAGATTGGTCACGATGAGACAACCCGTTTGATATGTCACACTCCTTGGCTGGAATATATAGGAAAGCAGAGGATTACATCTCTTGAACCATTCAAGTATGTATTTCATATTTCATATCTAACCGTTCCGCAGATGCGTCTGCATATTAACCTACCCGCGGGTGGAATGTTACTTGTTCCTAGGAAATGAGGAATGAGCCAAAATATAAGCTATGAGAGATTTTGGTTCTAGCTTGGGTCTCCGCCTAGACACCCCCTCCCCAAATAAGGCATTGGTCCTTGGCTTCAGAGACACCCCCTGCTGGGGGACTACAAAATAGGCTGTCAGGCCTAAGAGGAGCAAAAAGTTGAAGAATTCTCCCTTTTAACATCAGAACCAACTTGGGAGACGGTGCCCTTTTGCCCTGAAACTTGATCTGCTTAACCCAGGACTTTTGGCAAGTACTCTCTAAACCTCTTTCTGTTACCTCTTTGCTGTGTTATTGCTCTCTGTATTTATATATATATGTTACATCTTTTTTCTGTAAATATTTTTATTGCACCCTTTTGACCTTTTAGTAATAAATATTTCTGTTTCTAAAGCTCCTTAATGCAACTTATGAATTCATGCCGCTGAAGAACGCTACTGTGTGTTTTTAACCCTCTGTATAACCTGTCTGCCGTGACAGTGGTATACAGACGATTATCTAACCATCATAGTGTTATTGCTGATATTGCCAAGTTTCCTCTTTCTCTGTACAAAAAGGAGGTGGTGGTAGTGTGAAGGGTTAATTGCGTAATTAACCTGACCCAGTAAAAATCATGCTCAGGCTGCCTGTCAGGGATCGGTGGTTCTGCCGCGATGCGCCAGGCGGCGCATGTGCAGAACACCGATGCACCCTAGCCAGTGAGCAGCGGGACCTGGGCGATTGCGACGGCCGCGCATGCGCACTCGCGGACACGCGCCTGCCACCAATGACAGCGCAGGGCGGGCTATTCAAACAGGACAGGAGGTATGTCAAACATCTGCTCTGTTCCTGATATCTGATCCTGTGAATCTTCTGTTGCTGACCTCTGCATTGTTCCTGACCCTGCTGACCTTCTCCTGTTTAACCCCTGGCTTGCCTGACCATCCTTCTGCCTGATCCTCTGTACCGCGCTGCCCGTTAGTTACTGAACCCGACTTGTGACCCTGACCATTCTCTGCCTGCTCCTCCGGTACCTTGCTGCCCGCACATTGCTGACCTGGCCTGCCTGACTACGCCTTATGTTACCCAGACGATCCATCCATCCTGCGCAGATCTGTCCCTGTTACCAGGTCTGCCAGCCTCTTCACGTCAGGCTCCTTTCCCCGCACACTTCTGACGACGCTCTCTACCATTGCCAGACGTACTCAGGGGTCGCGACCTGGTCTCAGTCTGTTTCAAGTCCATCCCCACCATCAGGGGCCCTGGTGAATAAGCAGATTGGGACTTAGACCCCGCGCCCTGAGGAACCCCGTGCTGTGGGCTGCTAGAGACGCCGCCAGGCGGTGCTTAACACTGCCGGTACATCGATTGTGGTCCATTAGCCCAGAAAATCGTTGCGCTGGGTGCAGCTGGGCGTGGCATAGTTACGCACGTGACATCGCGGTTTTAGATTGGCTAGTCCTTCGGTCACGAGTTTGGTGAGAAGGGCAGGGATCTGACCCTGCGATCGTCACAAGGGCCACTGATAGAAATCATGGGGCCCCGTATAGCTTACCTTACTGGGCCCCACCCAACACACATCTCTGTGATGCATTTTACTGCCCCCCAACTGCTCCTCCATATGCTGCAAAGGCAGCGGAGTGGGGACAACATATGCTGCAGCCGTGATGCTATTTGCACAGCACAAATTATCCCTGCTGTCACATTTGTGCAGGGTTTTATAGGTTTCCTTCACACGGCCGTTTAGCTGTATCCACTGGATTCTAGCAGCAAGGATCAGCAGATTCTTGTGGCTGGAATGACAACAGCATGCAGGTATGAGCAGCCATTCAGCCTGTACAAACCAAGCACATCAATTAGTTACCTGTGCTTAGGAGTGGTTGTCTGAGTCTGGATGTAGTCAGGCTTGGAAAACTGTCCCTAACCGCAGGTACCCACTTGGTGTTCGACTACATGTAAACAGTGACATCCGCTGTGAGTCTGTAAATGCTCTACACAGGCTGAGTGGCCACTACTATTTGCATGCACCTCGCATTTCAGCCACAAGAAACTGCTGATTCGTGCTGCTGGAATTTGGTGGATGCAGGTCTTAACCCCCCCCCACAAATGTGACAGTGGGTATAATTTTTGCCATGCGAAAAGCATTGTGGCCACAGGATAACTACTTCCCCTCCTTTACTGCCTTTGCAGCATAAGGGGGAGTTGTTGGGGGAAATGGGGGAGTAAAAAACACACAGCAGAGCCAAGCGTTTTTACCACCTCCCCAAACATAAGTGTAAAAAAAGTCCTATAAGGAAGTACTGTATCTCATTGTGCTTATGTGATCATCATCATTATCATGATGATGATGATTACACACAGGTGCTGAGCCACAGTGTATCATTCAAGGCTGCAGAATGTTTGCACTTGTGGAGTACTCTACAAATGCAAAAACCTTTCAGCCATGAATGATAGTCTTGTGTGCTGTGTCGTAGTGTACTATATAAAGGGCGTGAATAGGGTACCGCTTACCAGTACAAAGGTGCTTGTTCAGGCGTGCTAGTGTGCTGTGTGCCTCTGTGCCAGGGGTGGGAAGATGCCACACTGCACCCCCCAAAATGTATGAGCTTCATGTGTCAGCTATAAACCCCTCTCCCTCCAAAAAAACGAGCACTAATTGGCATGTATAGCCCCTAAGCATACATTCCCTTTGCAAGCCAAAATTCTCTCCTAACAAAAAATTCCCCCTCCTCCCAGTACAAATCCTCCCTGCTGAAATCCCCTCTCCCAGCACAAATCTTTCTCCCCATCCCCACTCTCAGCTCAAATCCTCTTTCTATCCATATCTCTCCTGCCGGCACAACTCCCCTATCCCCCCTCCCCCCAGCACCCTTCTAGCACACATCCACCTCCAGCACAAACCCCCCAAATCACCCCCTCCTAGCATTCCCCCCATATTTCTCCTCCTAGAACAAATCTTACCCCCATCACCCCCCAAATTTCCTTTCCTACTACAAATCTCCACCAAATTGCCCCACAGATGGTGCTGTGCATATGCAGCATATATGGTGAAGCCTGGCAGAGTCTCCAAGATGTCCGGGATCAGCACATGTGGCGTCTGACGTCATCAAAATGCGACGCTACTGCCTAATGAAAGAGCGCGCCTGGACTCATCTCGTTCTGCACATGCTCAGAAACGCATCGCATTTTGATGTCAGATGCCACATGTGCTGATCCCAGACATCTTGGAGACTCTGCCAGGCTTCACCATCTATGCTGCATATGCACAGCACCATCTGCTGGCAGACACCTTGGAGATTCCACCAGGCTTACCATCCATGTTGCACATGCACAGCACCACCTGCTGGCGGACTCAATCGATCTCCTCTCTGGATCAGTCACACAACAACATCTGGCTACAGACGTTTTCACCCTCTTACCCATGAGCCTGTTTTTAAATTCTAAGATATGAGTTACTACTTATCTTTCTATTAAATAACTTCACAGTACACACTTAGAGGTTTCTTTGTTTCCCTTCTGCAGAGTTATGCTTTGCTCCTACGCAGCTTGCCCTTATAGCCTACTGGACTACCTTTACCCCTGCCCATTTAGAACTCATCAAACATACATGGACTGCCACACCATGCGTCTGTTATCCCTTTTGTATTAACTCTAAAATGATCTGTGAAGGCTTTTAATATGGATAGCTTTAGGTACCGAAGCTTGTTGCCATTTCACAGGCGTGCACAATTTTAAATATCGACATGTTTGATATCTATTTCCTTGGTGCAATATCATATTTTATATTTTACAAAAAAATGTGTATTATATTGTGTTTGTTTGCACTAAAATTCACTTAAGTATGATTTTTTTCCTGAAAATTTGTGTTTTATAAATGGCTATGCAAATATGCAACATAAAAAATTGCCATTTTATTCTCCAGAGACCCTGCTTACAGAAAATACAGTTACATAGATGGTAAGATTGATTAAAGACACCTGTCCATGCAGTTCAACGTGTGCGTGTACATGTGTTTAGGTCACTACCATTTCCCATATCCCTGTATATTGCATTCACTAAGATGCCCATCTAAATGTTTTTTGAAAATATTGACACTCCTCACTGACACCACTAACTTCATTGAGTGGCCGCATGTCCTCTTAAGTGACCTGAGACTGAACAGTTTCCTCCCTATGCTAGAATCACCATTTATATTTTTGTATATTGTGATCATATCTTCTTTTAAGCATCTCTTCTCCAGGGAGAATATGTTTAATAATTATAGTCGCTCCTCATAACTCAGGTCCTTCAGTCCCCTTATTAGCTTTGTTGACCTTATCTGCACTCTCTCCAGTTCCAGCAAATCCTTCCTGGGGACTGGTGATCAGAACTGGATGGATTTGGCATCAGCAGAGTTTTGTAATGTGGTAGCATTATTGTCTTATCTCTTAAGTAGATACCTTTTTAATGCATTTTAATGCATATGCTAGTCTTGCTAGCTGCAGCTTGGCATTGCTAAAGCAGAGCATGTAATTGACTAGCACCCCAGATCCTTTTCCATCCTCAATGGGGTTCTAAATTATTTTCTAGAAAAACAATGTTGATTTTAACATGAATTTTAAAAAATGGTCACAATTGGCCCAAAATGCAATTGATAATTAAAAATGAAATTCCCGGGGGGCGC